TGGGTTCATCTAGCTTTCAGGAGTCCAGCTGCTGCTGCAATGTGCTTTGTTCATGGGCTTATACATTCACAAAGCACATTCACTCAAGAGTCTTAAGTGGCAGGCATGGGTAATTGTCATCTCCTCTTTGTAAATGAAGTGGTAGAAGCCCAGGGAAATGTATCCTTTAGGGTTGCATGGGTCATAATAGAAAACCTAAGCTGCAAGCCCATCTATTTTCCTGTTCATCACAGTTCCAGAACTAGACACCTGGAACAAGAGCTGCACCTGCTTATCAATAGAACTGGTAAATGACATGCCACTATTGTTTTTAAGACCCAGATTCCCAGAGTGGAATGTAAGGGGATTGAATGTAAAATTCAGGGCTCCTCCAGCCCAAACTGCTCTGTATCAGTCTGTCTTACATACTGATTTTCCATGTGATCTATGTTCTAGAGCAGTGGTTCTCAACCTTTCTAATACTGTGGCCCTTTAATACACTTCCTCATGTTGTGGTGACCACCAACCATAAAATCATTTCATTGCTGCGTTATAACTAATTTTGCTACTATTACTAGACATAATTTAAATATCTGATATGCAGGATATCTGATATGTGACCCCCAAAGGGGTTGGGATTTACAGGTTAAGAATTACTGTTCTAGAGAAACCTTCTACAGAAGAAACAAAAGGACAACAACAAAAAAACTTTTGAAGTTCACTGAGCACCAAGTTAACATCCTAAGCTTGTTAAGAACCAACACAAAGGTAAAATGAAATTAATACAGGCATGAGCCAGTTGCTATGAGCAGAATATGATTTGGCTCATAACATTAATTTGTAACTTTCCAAAAATGTAAGGTCAAATGACTTGTCCAGAGATAACATTCTCTAATACCTAGTACTTAGTCCCCAGTACCTAAAACCTTGAGTGGCTCAGAGGTATGTCAAATAAATGCTGATAAAATTGAATTAAGGATATTTTATATATTTTAGGAAATGCACACTTTATGTCAAAATTTAACCCAATATAATATGCTCAGATTATATCCATTTCCTAATTAAGTTTAAAGAATGATCATAATTTAGTTTCTCCATTAAATCTCACTTTATTGCATGTATGTGTACATCCAGTCTATATAAAAATAATCTTCTTTCTCCCCAGTACACCTATAGACATTATTTGACAAATTTGATAAATTCCCAGTTCCAAATAACATTTGGAGTCATATATCTAGTTTATAATGCCTCCAATAAAATATTTCTAGACAAGAATGTTCATCTTTCATAGTGAAATTCTGAAGTGTGAATTCAACTTTCTTACTATAAAGGCTACCTGTATTCCCCTTATTTTCTAACCCTGACTTTTGGATGCTCATCAGCTGCCTTGTAACCAGGGTCCATTGTAAATCTATTGTGGTTTTGCCTTTACAACAGTTTTATACTCTTGTGTGCATGAATACTTTCTCTGACAGCATGACAAACCAGTGCCATGAATATTCTCTTAGCAGCAGTAAAACCTCTCAGTATGGCTCTGAAGTTTTAGGATGACAATCAAATGGTCCAACAAAGGACAGGAGAAGCTGAAATGAAAACCTTCATAGCTGAGTGATTTTTATTTCACATCTACTATGGAGTCTGAATCCTGTCCATCATAGGCACCTCCTTTCATCATCCACTGGAGTTGGTAGATGTTGGTATAAAGGGATCATAAAGTATTTAGTCACTTGAAGGCCTTCTGTGTCTAGGCTATTATTTCTACAGTACTGAGGAAATTGGGGCTCTTTCTCAACTTTGTTGTTTGCATTGGGGATCTAAAGGTAGATGGCTGTTTTTATTTGATGGTTGCTTTCTTCCATTGTGCTTCTGGAATAGTGTCTTCATGTCTCACTGACTCAGTTTTATAGCTAAATTTGTGAGCTCTTTGGTGGACTTTCTTCCCACATCAATTTATAATGGAATCTGAACTCACAGGCATTACCTTCTGCTGAGTATCTGAAGGGTGTTTCTTTCCTTTTTCATTCTTTCATATTAGAGGCTATGATTTTGCTCTAGGATTCAATTTCCTATGATATATAGACAACAAACAAAATAAGGCTCAAATTAATGTCATTTTGAAAAGACACTTGTGATGGTTTGCATAGGTATGGCCCCTATAGACTTATGTATGTGAATGCTTGGTTCATAGTAAATGGCACTTTAGGAGATATGGCCTTGTTGGAATAGGTTTTGCCTTGTAGGAGGAAGTGTGTCACTGGGGAGGCAGGCTTTGAGGTCTCATATGTGCTCAACCTACACCTCTTGCCTATGGATCAAAGTGTAGAACTCTCAGCTACCTCTCCAGTACCCTGTCTGCCTCCATGCTACCTTGCCTTCTACCATGATGATAATCCACCCAATTAAATGTTTTTCTTTATAAGATATGTGGTTGTCATGGTATATTTTCACAGCAATAGTAACCCTAACTAAAACAGAAGTTGGTACTGGAGACTGGGATATTGTTGTGATAAGCTTGACACATGGTTTTGTTTGGAGGAATTTGTACTTTGGTGATTTGGGTTAGGAAAACAGTGAAATGCTTTAAGCATTGCTTAATGGGCCATGTCAGTTGCCTTGAGATTGTTCTTGAGATAGTTTGGTGAAGAATGTGGCTGGCTTTTTGCCTTTGTCTGAAGAATCTGAGGCTAAAGTGAAGAGATTTGGATTAGTTCAATTGGCAGAGGAAATCTCAAAATGCCCTTGTGTAGATTCTGTTATGTGGTTATTAATGGTAACTCTAAGATTTATAATGAAAAGGAGCAAGCTGAACAAGGAAAAATACAACATGTACAATTTAAGAAGAAAAGAGTCACCAGGAAATGGAATGGTGCTATATCCTATGTTCAAGGACATAAACTGATTAAGAAATGGATTAAAAGGAGTAGTGACCTCAGGGCAAGATCCCTACCCAGCTAAGTTTCCAACTTGTGAAAAGGAATTAAAGAAAAGTTTAGAACTGGGTGTGGTGGTACATATCTTTAATCCCAGCACTGGGAAGGCAGAGGCTGGCAGATCTCTGAATTTGTGGCCAGCCTGAACTATACGTCCAGTTTCAGGACAATCAAGCTTAGGCAGTGAAGAAAATCATTGAAAACAAAAAGCAAAAATGAATGAGGAAGCCGTGTTCCAGCTAAGGTCAAGTATGTAGCTGGGGTGTCCTTGTGTGGAAGCCCCACACAAGCATGAAGCTGTGAAGGTGAAGCCTGGATTGCATTGGAGACCCCAAGATGTTGGAGTTTCCAAAACCATAGGATACCTGGCAAGGAAAGCTGCTATCAGGGAGTGTAACCAGCCCAAGAGAAAATAGTGTATTGCAGTCAACAAAGCTGAAAGGAGTTGGAATGCTGAAGAACATTTTGGCATCAGACATGGAGATGCAGGGTTTGGAGTTTCCCCGTCTGGTTTTCAGTCTTGCTTTGGTCCTACATTTCCTCACTATCATCCCTTTCCTCCACTTTGGAATGGTAATACATGGCCCATTATGTGGGAAGTATGTGATCTTTTTGTTGTTTTGATTTTTATAGGGGGGTTATCGTTAATTGTTTGAATCTCAGAAGAGACTTTGAACTTTAGACTTTAAACATTGTTGAGATTGTGATAGGTTATGGGGACTTTTGAAGTTGAACTAAATGCATTTTGCATTATGATATGGCTACAAATCTATGGGGCCTAGGTGATTGAATGTAGCGGTTCAAATAGGCATGACTCTATAGACTCATTTGTTTGAAAGCTTGGCCCATTGTGAGTGGCACTATTAGGAGATGTGGCCTTGTTGCAGTAACTGTGTCCTTGCTGGAGTAAGTGTGTCACTGTTGAGGCAGGCTTTGAGGTCTCATATATGCTCAAGCCACACCCACTATAACAGTTCTCTTCCTTTTGCCTGTGGATCAAGGTGTAGAAATCTCAGCTACCTCTCCAGCACCCTACTACATCCATGCTGCCTTGCTTCCCATCATGATGATAATGAACCAAACCTGTGAAACAGTAAGCCAGTCTCAATTCAATGTTTTTGTTTTTGTTTTTGTTTTAAATAAGAGTTGTCATGATCATGATGTTGCTTCACAGCGATAGAAACCCTAAGTAAGACAACATTCATTGGGGAAAAACTAAACATTATACCTAGTCTATTATATATAGGCTTTAAGAAATATTATAGAGAATGAGTTATTTATTAGAATAGTTTAGATAGTTCTTGATTACTCTAGACCATAAGGTAACTTTTAGAAGAATTTCTAAGACCAGATGCAACTCAGTGCTAGAGTTAGCCAAGCATGCATAGGGTGCTTAGATTGATCCACCACTGGGAGAAACAGAGGCAACGAGATAGAGACCTAGGATTTGCCATTATGACACATGTAGAAAAGTTTGCCTTTTATACATGTATGATGTGGTTTCTATCCTTCTCATACATCAACAAAGTTGGGTAGCACACCTCCAGGTTGCTAGTTTTTTCTAAACAAAGCTTAAGGTGTCTGTTCTCTTCAAACATTCCTTTGAGCCACCTCATTAATTTCATTTTATCATTTGTAAAGATAGATGTGTGTCATCCTTCCCCCACCACACACACACAGCCGAGGATGGAATGGATACTGTCTAAGCTTTAATATTAGTAATACTGATAAATAACAGCAATCATTATGACATGTATCCTTCGTAAAACATTTCCAAGATGTTCTCATTAATCCTCACTATGCCCCCTCCAGACACATCAGAACACTAGAGCCAGGCTTATCCCTGTGGTGCTGTCTTCTTCTCAAGAAGAAGTCTTTGCAGGCATAGTTAACTTCCCCTCTGAGTGAGGCCATCTGCTAATCATACTCATCATTTCATCATACCCTGGCCAAATGTCAGTGTTGCTCTAAAAAGTAACATGTGTCATAGGTATGCTGTTGTGTGTGTCCCCAGTGGGAATTGTTTGAGCCCGATGAAGACTTTCTCCTCCCCACTTCAGGAGGTATATGACAGTCTCCCTTTGTTTCCAGCTAAGGATAGCCTCGCCTGCCTTGTGTGAATGGAAGGGTGTGCAAGTCACCACAAGATATTGACCATGAATCATTCACCCTCAGCATACAGGAATCTCCTGGGGGACCATGGTCATTCATTGCAGCACACGTGGGGTTGTGAAGGTCCAGTCTTTGCCCCATCATCCCCCCTTTCCATGATTCAGCAACAGAAGTTTGCAGTCAGATGATCTGTAAGTCATAGCATGATTTATGGTGAATTTTGGGCCTCACTTTAGCACCAGAATACCCCAAAGAAAGCATTGCTGATGTCCTGATGGTCTTAGGCAAACCAAGGAATAGGGACACATTTAAGATTAGGCAACTTTCAAATGCTAATGCCGGCTTCCCAACTGACATTTTTATAAGATTGAAAATCCAAAATTCAGGCATCTCTTTCCCCACTGTGTGGTCTCTGGGATACAAGAACTATGAGAACAGATTTCACTATTGCAAAGCAGCTGGTTGCTATAGAAACACCTTAGTACTTTATAAACCCTTCTGGCTTGTACCTGGAGTATGAACTCTATACTAGTTTTAGAATAAGTTAAAATGCATCTAGAATCAGACTCTGGTTTTATTTTTTTTTCTAAAGCATAAAATGGCAATACTAATGTGATGTAACTAATAGCACTAAGGCAAACCTGCTGTTGCCAGGTGGGCTCTGCCATTGTTGCAGCTGACTAAGGCTAGCATCTCACACCACTGTTTTAGGATTGGTGTCAGAACATCTGGAAGGATGTAATTTTATTTAGTTGAACATTACTGTTTGTGCATTATTTTTTACTTAAATCCTAACAGCCTTATGGATACACGCTGTCAGTTCCAGGAAAGCATATATGATTCCCCATTGACAATAGGTTTTGTTTGCAGTGTTTCTATTCTAGTTTCTTCTTTTTTGTTTTGTTTTGGTTTGATTTTGGTTTTCCAAGACAGTGTTTCTCTGTGTTGTCCTGGCTGTCCTGAAACTTTCTCTGTAGACCAGACTGGCTTCGAACTCACAGAGATCCACCTGTCTCTGCCTCCCAGAGCTGGGATTAAAGGCATGTGCAACCACTTCGTGGCTCTAGTTCATTTCTTAATTGAAAGGTGGGAGAAATATCTCAGGAGGTGAACTGAAATCTTCAATGGTATAATGAATTATGATGCAGCTAAACATTTAAAAATGTAGTTTAAAAGTGATACTAATGCAGATATAAAATTGTTTAAATGTAGAATGAATGGCAGTATTTAAACTTGTCTTTGAAATTTAGGAAAGCAAGTTTATTTACTCAGTCTGCTCCATTCTTCCTTAATACATAATTCAGCTCTGATCTATGTCCCTTCTGGGCATTTTTAGTGCCACAGTAATAGACAGTTGTTATTTAATATACACATTGTTAAAATTTATTACGTGATAGTACACTGTAATTTCAATGTGGTAGATTGATATTTCCAGCCAACAAGCAGCCATGATTCTAAATAGCAAAGTACATCTTGCCTCTCAGCACTGTTTGTACCTCTCGCTGCCTGTTTCCTTTAAGCTGCAGGCTGCACCTGGAGCCAGGAGGTAGTAACAACCCTCTCAGAGAGAATCACAGAACACAGGTTCCTCTGAGTCCCACAGGAGACAGCAGAGCCATAATTGGAGCTGCAGCAGTGGCCAACTGGTACTTCTGCTATTTTCCAGACAACATTTAAAACTTAAAATCTCCAATGTGAGTGCTACTTTTAGTCATTTTCGAGACCACTGCATCTTCTAATTCAGTAATTCTAACTTCTTCACCAACACTTTTTAAGTGTGTATTTACATGAAAGCTGAATGAAGTTGCTAAAAGAGCCAGATTACAAATAAACCCACCACTGTGTCAGTGTCATTCAACCAGTCACCCTGCACCATGTGAAGAAATAGAAGGTACAATTGTCAGAACTTGAAAAAATTCAACCTAAAATTATGCTTGAGAGCAAAAGCATTGGAAGATAACAATGTTGACTACAAATTTCAAATAAATATAATCTACAAACAAGATCAATAAGGATTTTGATTACAATGCTACAGGACTTACTCATTTTTTTATAATTTGATTTTCAAAAAATATTATATGTTCCCCATGTATGACTATTGCTTCAGAATATATTCTAATTCATTGACTAAGAATATGCTTTTAAATATGGTAACAACTATAGACTCAGTGATAAGATTCCTAACCATGAGAAGGAATCTATTGGGTAAATGTTACTGTTAATTCTTTTTATTAATGAGTTGATTTTCATGTGAGGTTTAACAGTGTAGCTCACAGCATGCAACAGGTAGCCGAGTCTGTCTCCTACATCACCTTCTCCTCTTCCTTTCCTTGCCTGCTGGCATCCTCTTTCTTTTTATTTCTGGTGCCAATGTCTCCATATTCTCAACTTCTTCTGTCTTTCATTCCCAGGGGCTGCACATGTCCACCTTTGTATTGCACATAAAGCCCCAGATGTGGTAGGTGTGCCAGAAACCAGGGTGGACATTGAGCAGTCACTCAGGCCAGGACCTTCAAAACCATGAGAGAAGTGCACAACCTATAGCAAGATCAGATTTGTGCTGTTGGAAAGCCTGTTGTGTCATCATTTGTGCTGTAGGACACAGTGTGATACTTCCTAATTAAAAACTGCTGAATTAAAACAGTTTTGCATAGCAATGAGAAATCCTTGTTTCAGTTAAGGGAATATCCGATTCTCATGATCATTAGGACTTAGAGTGAACAGAGAAGGTTGTGCAGTTTGCTTAATAAATGCAATGCTTGGAGGTGGCATCTGTTTCTATAGCAGACACCCTGGGCCTTTCCAGCCAATCAACTCTGACAGCAAATCCCTAGATAATAAACTTTAACTTCTTGGAGCTATAAAGGTTCAAAACCTTGTCATAATGGCTCATTTTTTCCGTCACACCCTGTCTGTAATCCTGGCTCTCCATACACTGTATGTGAAGGTGGATGGAGGGTCAGGTGAAGCTTGGGTCTTTGAAAGTCCATCTCCAGCATCATTGCTTTAGACAGCCCCTGTCCCCCCTCTTCCAGCCCTGCACTGTTCCTTCAGTGTCTATCTTTGAAGTTTGTCCTTTCTTCCTGTCCCCAAGCTTCTGTCTCTCCCTTTCCTCCCCATTCTCTTTCATTCTCTAATTGTCTGTTTTCTTGCTCACTGAGAAGTCAGCCTTAATAGAAGTTCAAACTGTCTTTTGAATCACTTTTTCTGCCATAAGTTGTGTGTTGGCTAAGTAAATTATTGAAAAAACTAAGAGGAGACATCTTTTCCCAGAGTGCTCATATCCTATGGCACTCATCTTGCAAGGTTTACCTGTCAATAAACACAATTGGGTAAGTGCACATTGGCTTCTAATGTGGAATTATGGCAGAAAAGGACACTACCTGTTTTTTTCCAAAAATAGCAACAAAAGTTTTATGGGCTGATGCTCAGGTTTGGGGTTTGTTTTTGTTTGAAAATTTCATGCAACGTGTTTGGATTATATTCACTCACTCCAACTTAACCCCACTTCTCTTCCTACCCAGTTTTATGTCCTTTATCCCCCCCCATCAAAGCCAGTTTGTTTTGTTTTGCCCAAACATTCTTGGGTATGTGGCCTTACAGTGGAGCACAGTTGACTAATTGGGCCTCCATCCTATAGAAAACTAATGTTTTTCCTAGGAGCTCACAGTAGCCATGCTAGGAGTTGGTATTGCTTGGCCTTGCACAGGTTTTACACACACATGCTGTCACAACCTCTGATGGGGGATATCATTCTTTATGCTGTGAATATATGTTTCTCTTATTGGTTGATTAATCATTAGTTGATGAATCAAGCTGTTTTGGCCAATGGACAAGCAGGATGTAGCCAGACAGGAAGTATATGTGGGGCTACCAGACTAGGAAAACTCTGGGAGGAGGAATGCTGAGAGTGAGTTACTAGGAAGAGATGCCATGTAGCTGCTGAGGAAGAAAGGGGTGTAGGCATCACTGGTAAGCCAAGACCATGTGGACATACACATATTAATAAAATGGGTTAATAATTAAGAGAGAGTTAGCAAATACGAAGCCTGAGCCATCAGCCAAACAGTTTATAATTAATACAAGCCTCTATATATTTGTTTGGGACTAAATGGCTTTGGTACTGGGCAGGACCAGGTGGGACAGAAACTTCTATCTACATGTGGTGCCCAACTTGAACCCATGACCCTGATGTTAAGAGTTTCATGCTCTACTGACTGAGCTAGCCAGTTGTTTTGGTTTTTTTTTTTTTTGGTTTGTTTGTTTGTTTGTTTTTTAATTATAAACTGTTTAAGTTCATGGGTACCTTCCCTGCTGTGTCATTTTTTTTACCAATTTTTTGAATATGAAAGAATGGGTTAGTTTTCAGATGATTCTTTTTTCCTTCTCCTATATCCAGATATCCTTTTCAATATCAAATATTTGTGCAAAGCTTGAAAAGTTGGTGGTTTCTTTAGTATCATAAATAAAGCAACAGTACTCTATTACAGCTTGTTGGATTAAAACAATGTGCCCAGTGGATTTAAATTGCTCCTAATCATTACTCTTTGCTTACAGAATTCCAGTCTGTATGATTTCCAGTTACTATGTTCTAGTTCAACAAACCAGCTTTCCAACACCATAGTTTAGTGATAATTGTTTACAAAAAATATAAACCTCAGAGTTAGCTCTTCCATAAATTAGTGTGTAGATAGTGGGTGTCCATCCTCAGCAGTGGGTGGTGATGTCAGTTCTTTGAGGTTTGAAGCCCCATCAGTGGTGGGGCTGTGGTCATCTTGGGCTCAGCTCCCACAAATGAGAGTGCTATGGCTGTGTTGCCTATTTGTCTCTTACTGTTGACTCATGTGAACTTGTGCAAAAACAGACACAAGAGAAGACTGGCCAACAGTCAGGTCAGTGTGGAGTGGTGATGCAGCAGAATAAGAAAAAGTGGTGCTTCTGGGGGTGAAACTTGAACCACATGTGTATAGGTGCTTGCCAGTGTTCTAGATCTTGTCCCCACAGACTCTTGCCCTACAAGAGTGACTTAATGAAAGCCAGATAGGTTGCTTATGAATGGGGAATGTTGTGACTTGTCTTTGTTAGGGTTTCTGTTGCTTTGATGAAACACCATGATCAAAAAGCAAGTCGGGGAAGAAAGGGTTTATTTGGCTTAAACTTCCTCATTGCTACTCATTATTGAAGAAAGTCA